AATTGCTCATGATAACAACATATAATTCTTATTGAACTATATTTTTATTTAAATTTGCCTTCCATATTATTTATTTTTGTTTTTCACAAGGAAGATCTTTAAATTAAACAAAACCTTGTTTTCTAGAAAATCCAGTTTTGTGGCAATGAATGTTTAGACTTTTTCCAATGTCACATTTCTCCATATTAAATATTTTTATTATTTATTACTTGCCAAAAAAATATAAAATTCACAGTCATTCTTTAGGAAATTACAAATAAGTAAAGTATATTTAAAAAGAACAAAACAAAACTAATACTTGTTTTTGATATAATAGGAGGTTTTAATTCACCAATTTGAAATAATGAAAATAAATTGTTTCTCAAACTTTAACAAAAAAAAAAAAATATTTTTAAATTGTATTTTATGTTAAAAAAAAAAAAAAGAAAAAAAAAGGAGATGGGGGGGGGGGGAGGAAGTTTATCCAAGGCCATCCTGGACCGCCCTTAAACCATGACTATAAATGTCCTAAACTAGTCAACAAATAACACTATTTGATGTTTTACTCAAATAAATGTTTTCAAAAATATTTTAATTGCTTTTGTTACAAAATTTAAATTTTTCTAAAAAGACACCATTTTTAAATGCAAATTTTGATCAAGTATTAGAGAGACAATTGATGAATCTACTGTTTTTCAGTAGACCTAAGATAAAATAATGATATACAATTAAACTTTTTACTCAGGATTTTGGGCCACAGTCTTCATTTTACCTCCAAAAATCATTAATTTACAAGTCAATAATTTTAAACAAAATTGGGTAAACAAGGCATTTCTTGAGACAATCGAGTCTTAAGGGTGCTAAAACCTATTAGGGTACCAAATTTTAGGAAGATACTTTATGTCAAAGTTGCTTTATAGTTGCTTCAGAAAATCACTAAAATGCCGAGTCAGCATTATTTCATCTCAGGGCTCGAATTAAGTGATCGCAAATTGCAATATCTGGAAATATCTGTGGTCATTAAATTCTTAGTTTTTTTAAAAACCGTAAACACTGTTTTAATGAAACAATCAGTTTGTCGTATTGCAAAATACGATAAACTGATCTGATTTATATAAACAATAAATTTACTACTGCAAAAATAATAACAGTCAAAATTTGCATATTATTAGTTATTGTTTTTTTAAACAATAACTAATAATATGCAACTTTGTAAATATACAACTTTCAATGATACTTTAATTTTAAAATCATTAGCTACTTTATTTTAAAGCGTTTTGCTTGCATAAAAATGTTAGTAAAGATAAACTTGTTGAAGTTATTTATTTTCAACGTAATTAAAAACTATTTTTTTCAGCGCATTTGTTAAAAAACATGGTCAAATTGTCAATATATATATATATATATATATATATATATATATATATATATATATATATATATATATATATATATATATATATATATATATATATATATATATATATATATATATACCCTTAGAATTAGGGTTGCCATTTGACAATTCCAACCTGAAAGTGTTTGAGGTTGGCAAAAAAAATTGCTAATCTTATTTCTATGTTTTATGATCAGGCCTTTGTATCAAATAATATTTGCCGACCTGATGCTGACCTCAAAAAACATTAAGGTCAGTAAAAAATTGCCAACCTCATTTTTCTTTAATTCTGAGGTTTGTATATATATATTACCTTTAACCTTCTTTTTGTGTCGTTTTAAAACATCACAACACTTATCATTCTTTAATAGAAATATCGGTCCTTGATATTTTGTGACATTTCTAAATCCACTAGATTCCATTTTATCAATATACTGTTATTTATTATCCCTAAAAAGATGCAAGGAAAATGTATAATTCATTTAATGTATGCATGGGGTCAAGGTTGTTCAGGATTAGAAAATTTTACGTCATAACAACTTCTAAAAAAATAAAAAATTGAGCTACATTGGCATTTTTATGATTGGACTTGCCCCAATAAAATTGTGATGAACATTAAAATTATAAGTGTTATGTTTGTTTTTAAATATTTTAAGTTGTTTTATTGGATTCCTTGCCCCAAAATATGTAAAGGCAGGCCTGGTCGGGAAGCGGGAGTAATTGCTCTTGAATACTGACCACGACCACAAATAATATTTAGTCGCAAACTACGACCACAAATAATATTTAGTCGCAAAAAACTGTCCAGATTTTTCTATTAGTTTTGAAAACATTTCAAAAAAGATTAATTAGACCAATGAGAGACAATTAAAAAAAAAAAATTAGGAAAATAAAATACCTTTTAATGCAAAAAAACTTAAAGCAAAATAAATTACATTTAGAACAAATATTTTCAAAACATTGCTCTATTATAGTTTTTTTATAAAATTAAGCAACGTTTTTTATATAAAGTAACATCTTACGATTGTTTAAAAAGGATTGTTCTTTATTTAACAAAGAGTGTAATATAATTTTTATTTATATATTCGTGTCTTATTTCCAGTGCTAGATTAAGGAGGGTTGGGGTTAGAGGGGGCTATATCCTTAGGCCCTGGAATGTTAGGGCCCCAAAAAAGTCAAGAAGACCTTTTTGTTTAGTCATTTTCATGCCATGGCACATAAAGAGGCATCCAAAATAAAAATAGTAAACTAACGCAACTTTTAGTTTTAAGCTAAATTATTTTATAAATAAAAAAGTTAATTTTTTAAATAACTATTTAATGTTTCGCATAGTTTGAAAAGTTTAACATATTTGAAACAATTCTTCTTAGTAAGATGAGCAAATGAAATAATTAAATCATTGAATTACTATAGAAATTAAATTTTTAAGAGTGGTAACTGAAGCGAAAATAATTAGAGTTAGTAGACCAATATCTAAAAACTTTTCTTTATATATATTAACTTGCTGTATATATTTGTATTCTGTCGTGACCTCAGGTGCGGGGCTTGTTCATCCGCGAGTTACTTTGTATGCATATTTGTGTTTATTAACCAGAAACTTCTTATATGTTTGTTACATAGTTAGTTTTATTAACTTTGATGATTATTAATAACTTCATTGTAAACACAATTATTGTTGAAAGCCTTTGTTTACATAGTAAATCATAAAAATTGCTTTAAAAGATTACATAAGAATAAAAAACAGATACACAAAATAACATTTACATAAAAAGTACATACTTTTTAAATAAAAAATAAGAATATACTAATAAAATCTATAATTTATAATAAACTTTCAAAATTTTGACAATTTAAAAAATATATTTTATAAAACATTTATTTTTTTAAACAAATAATAATAGTTTAGAAGGTTTACGGCTTTGCAGATATGGCTCCGAAAATGAGCCATATTTAAACAAATATAATTATTTTGTTCGTATTTAGTGGGTTTTTATAGTATTCTTTTAAATTCTAATATTCTTTTTAGATTCTTATATTCTTATATTCTTTTTATTCTTTCGCTCCAAGATGTTTTGAAAACATTCAAGTTTATTATGTTTCCATGTATGACTGTAAAACAAAGTTTTTTTGTTACATACATAAACTTGAATGTTCTTAAAACGACTAAAAACCTGGCCAGTTTTTCGCTACTAAATATTATTTCCGGTTAAATATTATTATTGGTCAGTATTCAAGAGTGATTGCTCCCGGTTTTTTGACTAAGCCTGTAAAGGTACAAATTTTCAGCTTTTGAACATGCATTTAACAGAAAGTAGAATTTAAAAATAAAATATAAAACATAAAATCACCCTGTAATGATGCAGTTAAAAAGGTATGATTAAATAATTATATAGATTTTATAAAGGAGTCATAAGGAAATAAAATCAAAAAGTCTTACTTTAATAAAGAAACTTATAAATCTTTCCAGCAAACTTGTCACCAGTATTAAATTAATCTACAGAAAACAAAACTAAACATAGTTTAGATTATTTACAATGGCATACTAATTGGATCCATGTTCAAGGTCCATAAAACTTTTGTTACAACAGTTGAGTATTTTATAAGTTAGGATAAAGCATTTCTTTGGCTGACTTTAACTTGACAAGATATAACATATGCTCTGTGTTAAAATTTTTTTTTGTGGGATTTGACTTCAATTTGATGCTATTTAACCTGTTTTTAAACATTTTAAATGTATTTTGAATCATGTGATACTCAAATTGATTTGTTTTATCTTATTACTGTTCAGAGCTGAAAGTATGATTAAAAATATAAAAATTAATATGAAAATATGGAATTTACATATAAGTTTACAGAGATATAAATAGTCTGCGTATAGTTTTAGCATATTTTTTAGATAACCTTTGGATTGCTTCAGGTTTTTCTAGTTTTGATGAGTTTAAATGGCAGCAGTCGTTCAAACTCATTAGCAAAGTTTTTAATATCTTGCTTCCGCATGTTAATAGTTTCACATTATCAGAACCATTTGGTTTATAATAGCCATCTATAATAACCATATGTTAATAGTTTATGAAATTATTACCATATGGTTTAAAGCCTTGCTACAATATGGTAATAGTTTCTCAAAAATGTGAATAATTACAGTAGTTGTCTTCCAAGAGGGTTTACAAAATAAAAGAAACTATAAAAATACATGCTTTTAAAAGGTGACTTTTAAAAGCATGTATTTTTATAGTAACAGCAGTTAAATAAGATTTGATTACTTTTAATTGCATCTATTCTCTTAAATCACAAGAATATTTTTTCATTTGTAATGTTTGTTACATCATAATAATAAAGAAAACATGCATTTGCTTTTTGCTATAACACAATTAAGTGAAGCATGTTTATTTATTGGTACTTGAAAATCAGTAACAAATTATATAATAAAAGTTTTCTTTTGCACTGTTCTAAAAAACAGAAAGGTTTTAAACAAAATGTACTACTTTTTATTGAAATTACAATGTTGTCTGTATTTTGTTAAAATTATAATTATTTAAAAGTTTTTTAAAAGTTCTTTGTTTATTGATTTTTCAAACTAATACATATATTGAAATGTAAACTATATTAATATGTATTTTGTTAGAAACAATTCAGTTGCAGATTATTTAATGCAAGCTGGGTACATGCAAACTCTTGATAGGTTTAGAGAAGAAGCAAATATAGTGAGTTCATTTTTTCTGTGTAAATTTTTTTTTGTTTCCTCATTTCATGTATTACAACTATGAAAATTATATTTAATATAAGAAAATAGGTCTTTAAATTTCCTATTTAAAAAAAAGAATACAAATAATCTCGACTCTTGTAATCTCCTAGAAACTTCCTAAATTCTATTCACTTGTCTAAACATTCACTCTTTAAAACAACTCTAAAATATATTTTAAAAGGGGAGGGGGCATTTTTTTTTCTAATTTCTAATAATTATTTTTTAATTTTTTTTACTTACATTAATTTTAATTTTAGAAAAACTTTTATCATCAAAAATTTTTCATTATCTAACCTGACGAAGGCTTGGTTGGAAAGCAGGTGCAATCGCACTCTGTATCTTACCACAAATATGATACTTAGTTGCGACAACTTGACCACAGCTTTTTAATTGTTTTGAGAACATTTGCAAACTGAAGCAAGTTTTTATTGTATCAAATTATTTGAAAGCAAACTTTTATGATTAAACAATCTTACAAATTGTTTTAAAAGATTTATATTCAAATGGTAAAAAATTGTTTTATATTTATATAATTAACTAAATTTTATATAATTTCTAATAAAACTTACTCAACTTTATTTATTTAAAAATCATAAAAATTTTCTTTTTAAAAACAACCAACAAAATAAAATTGTTGCTTTATTTAAAAGCATTTCACTAATATAAAAACATTTGATTACAAAAGATTAATGTTACAAAGTTAGTTTTTTTAGTGTGTTATAACTTAATTTTAGAGACTTACATAAAAACATACATAAATTTGAACATTTTCAAACATCTAAAAAGCTGTGTTCAAGTTTTCACAACTCAATATTATATGCATATTCGATTACACCTGCTTCCTTACCAAGCCCGAAATAATCAAAGTTACCCTTAAATAAAAAGTATACCCAAAAAATAAGAAATTTTTATGTATTAAAATATATTTATAAGTATTAAAATATATTCCAGTATAGCATATGTAATAATGTAAGTGTGTATATAAATAATTTATTACTAACTAAACAATAGTTGATTTTTTTTCTGATTTGTTTCAAGGTATAACATGAAATCTGATGTCTAGCGCAGCCTAGTATATAACACGGGCAGATTAGTTGCATTAAAGGCCAAATATTAGTGTGCCAAAAAAACATAATTTTAAAATTTATAAAATAAACAGGTTTAAAAATATTTATATAATTTAAATTATAAGATTTACTTTATTTTTTAATGCCAAAAAGTGTTGAGTTGTAGGTTGTAGAAGTAACTGTAGGCAAAATATTAAAGAAGTAACAGTAACGATGCACCATACCAAACTCCTTTGAGTTTTCCTGATAACAATCATCTAGATCTTCAATGTATCAATCACTTTTAAAGATGTATATTTAAAAAGAAGTACCAACAGTTATTACCAACTAAAACATCATCAAAGCCTTCTCTGATTCAATCAAGCTCAGCTTTATGCAAACCCCCAGTAGTTTGCAAATATAACCTTCATTTGCTAGATGAAACTGATGATTAAAGAAAACATGATATCGTTAAAAACATTGCAGATCTTAATTTAAATTTTTGTCCAGAAGATTTTTTATTTAAAAGAATTGATAACTGTGTGTTATATCTTTGAATATTTTTTGATAAAAAAGGATGTTACTCCTAACATTGATAGTATTACAATTGATGGTGGCTTACACGTAAGGCTACATTTTAATTGAATTTATTTCCATTACCTGAATAATTTTGAAAGATAGTATTTGTAAATTGACCAGTGCCAGTATGCTTGTTGATTTTGTTTTCTATATGCATGAAGTTACATAGAAAGTATCAAAAAATATATCAGAATTAAATAAGTTGTCTCTTTACAAATCACAAGGATGTCCTATCTACACAATTAAAATAGCTAGATTTTTTCTGATGCACATATACACATCAAAAAAGGCAAACACTTTGCTATTAGAAAAGTTTCCTCTCCCTTTATTGTCATATTTAAAATCACTTTTGAATTAGGGCATTGATCTAATATCAGGATTATTATTACTGTTGGAAAATGGTTGTGTTAGTGTTATCTGTGTTGTCTTAATTGGTAAAATGGACTTACAAAAAGGTGTCTAAGATCATGGAAGAAGTTTGATTGGAGCTGATAATGATGATAATTTCTATTCTGGTATAGTTCTTTTTATAGCTTAAAAGCTATAAAAAGAACTATACCAGAATAGAAATTCTCCTTCGTTATTAAGGCCTATCCCGATTTCAAATTTCTAATTTATTGATTAGTTCACATATGAATAAATATTAGAAACATAATATAAAGCATCTTCTAATTTGCAAGCTATAGTAACTGACAAAACTATAATAGCTTTCAAATAATCTGCCCAAACTTTACATCCATGAAACAAGTTTTCTTTTAGCTTTAAATATTTTTCATGAAATACTGGAATCATCAACTATTTTTGAAACTAAACCAATGCTGGATTTCTAAAGCTTAATAATATTTGGTGGATTATTTCTAATTCAAAAAAAAAATATTTAACACAATTAATAGGATTGGTAATGTAGTTTTTAAAAGGCGTCTTTAAATTTTAATTTTTGAATCAAAAGAAACTATTGCATTGGTTATTTTGTTTTTTTGTTTTGTTTTGTTTTAACGGTTTTTTATATTTATATTATACTTGATAACGAGGGCATCTATACTCCCTTAGAATATCGTAGTAAAAATAAAGATTGGTAATGAGCTATTCAAGGGTTGAATTAACGCATTGCGATTTGCGATATCTGTTAAATTATCTGGTCTTCAAAGTTTAAGTTTATGGAAAACAACGAAATTTACGGAATAGGCGAATAAACTTTAATTTGTTAGTGAAAATGTTATGAAAAACAAAACAATAAATTTATGACTACAAAAGTAATAACACTGCAGTGTTTTTAGTTTTATAACACTCTTTTATGTTACATTTATAGCTTATTATTTGATCAATCAACACATAATCAAGATATTATAAATAAAAATGATTTAGTTAAGTAATTCCTAACTTTAATTAAAGTAGTAATGCATCTAGAAAAAATACAATGGATATTTAAACAATGTTAAAAACCTCAGCAACTTTTACGAATACATATTTTTATAAACAGTTTAGCATTTCTAAACATCTTACAAACGGTCCGGAAAAAACGCGCGTTCACTTTAAAATCAACCAATGAAAACACTGGTAATTTACTTCTTAGGAGAAATCTATATTAAAAGGGGAGGGAGGAGGGGAGGCTAAAAACTTAAATTTTGTTTTATTATTTAATCAATTAAATCATAATAAAAGTAAAGACAAAAAAATATATTTCTAAATATACTTCTTTATAAGTAAAATTTATTAAATTGAACACCTCTGTTTTTAGTTTTAAGTAAATGTCAGTACTACTCTCAGTGGCGAAACTGCGGGGGGGGGGGGGGGGTGAGCAGACAAAAAGTGTCCTAATTTTAAACTAATTTTAGGTTGCATGGGAGATAAGGGGCTCAATTTAAAAATCGTGCGGAGGGGGGGGGGATTTTGTTACGGACTACTCTAATGTGCTTAATACAATGGTAGGTGGGGGTGAGAATTTTAGTCAGGATGTATAAAATGGGAGGAGGAAATAATAAAAAAAAGCGGGAGGATTTACAATGAAAGTTTTATTATTTATCAGTTACCAATGTATATTTTTTTTAATTTTAAGACCAATTTTCACTGAATTTTTGTTTTAAGATATAGTTTTTTCTTTATAACAAGTGAATTGATTAAATAATAAAACAAAATTGAAGTTTTTAGCCTCCCCCCTCCCTCCCCTTTTAAGATAGATTTCTCCTAAGAAGTAAATTACCAGTGTTTTCATTGGTTGATTTTAAAGTGAACGCGCGTTTTTTCCGGACCGTTTGTAAGATGTTTAAAAATGCTAAACTGTTTATAAAAATATGTATACGTAAAAGTTGCTGAGGTTTTTAACATTGTTTAAATAGCCATTGTATTTTTTTTAGATGCATTACTACTTTAATTAAAGTTTGGAATTACTTAACTATTTATAATATCTTGATTAGGTGTTGTTTGATCAAACAATAAACTATAAATGTAACTTAAAAGAGTGTTATAAAAGTAACAACACTGTAGTGTTATTACTTTTGTAGTAATAAATTTATTGTTTTGTTTTTCATAACATTTTCACTAACAAATTAAAGTTTATTCGCCTATTCCGTAAATTTCGTGGTTTTCCATAAACTTAAACTTTGAAGACCAGATAATTTAACAGATATCGCAAATCGCGATGCGTTAATTCAACCCTTGCTATTCCAGGTGATAAAAATCCGCTTTTTTCTTTATGACTTAGCAAAATTGGTAATGAATTACCAAATAAAAAATTCAGTTTAACAAATGTAGTACTTTGTCCACCCAAACAACTAATGCATTAATTTTAACATTGAAAAGTACTGCAAGTCTGATAGAAGATTTATTTTTAGAAAGATGTAAGTATGTTTTAACTAACTGGTTTCAAACTGATCTATTAGAAAGACTTTTCAGTAAATAAGTGGTGGAAGATTTTTAGTCAACTTACATCTAGTTCAAGGCTTTAAAAATAAATTATGTATGAAATTCCTAATTAAATCCAATATCAGTAGTTAGACAAGCAGTCTGAAACCTGATATAAATATTGACAAAAATGACCTTTTATTCCCTTAATATAAAAAGTGCGTCCTTGTTGGCATATGAAAAACATCTATCAACTGATGTTTTTATGTGTATAGAGCATGAGTAATAGGGAAGGAAATTACTCAACAAATTGTTACCTATATATACTTCAACAATTAACAACAAATTAAAAATGGAAACAGACAAGATTAAGTTGCTGTTTTCAAAGTTTGACATAAATAAATAAATATAATAACAGTTTGTATATATATTGTTTCTTTGAGAAACAAAAGAATGATGATTTTGTGGAAATTTTGTGATGTAAGGCGTTGTTTTTTATATCAGTAAATTTATGTTACTGTACATTTTAATGTTAGTTATTAGATTTTTTTATTTTTTTTTTTATTTTTCTTCATTTATTTAACCATAAATAATGAAAATTTACAATGATAAATTATAAATTTACATAAATAAGGTTACTCATATAGTTGAAAACTAGTCAATGGAGTGACACCTAAATAAAAAATAAAAAAGGAAAGAAAGATAAGCAACAATAACAATAAAGAAGATTTAAAAAAAAAAAAAAAAAAAAAGAGGAAAAGAAAGTTAAAAGTAATAATATTTATAAAAATAATAATATTAACAATAATATGAATAAAAATAATATAAAAAATAATAACTGCAATATAACAACGTAAAAAGAATTATAAATGATAAAGCAATAGTAAGATAATTATAGTATAGTTAATAATTATAAAATAAACAATTTAAATAATAGTTATAGCACTAATAATAAAGCTTCTGCAACTACTGAACTACTTTGACTATCATTATAGGTAATAATATTAAGGCAACAAAAACAAAGATATATAAATAATAATAGTAATAACAATAATAAAAATAGTAGTAGTAACATTGTAAAGAATAATAACAATAAAAAAAATTAAAAAAATAAAAATAAGTGTAATTAGGTTTCTATTGAGAAGAAGAAAGTTAGTAACAAAAGGGTATTTAGTTAAAATCTTTTTTTTATAAAAGGTTTTAATTGGTTCCAGTGAGAAATACATTGATGTTTTATGGAGAGCTTGCCATACTTGACAGTATTGAAAAAAGAAGAGTGCAAATTACCATTTATAGTAATACGAGTATAGTATTTATGTGTATCACTTGCTTTAATGAAAAAATTGTTAAATGAACCCGGCAGATTATTTTGGAGGAAATCAAACACAAAAAGACAGTTGTAAAACTTTATAAGATCTTGAAATTGTAAGATTTTTAATTCAGAAAACTTTTTTTGGATATTAGATTGAATTGGAGAAAATGTCATAATTCTTATGGAAGCACGTTGCAAACTGTTTATTCGGTTTAATAGAAAACTTCCTTGTTGTCCCCAAACAATGCAACAATAGCTTAGATGGGATGAGAACATGGAAAAGTAAATTGATACTAGAGTATGTTTAGGATCATTGTGTAATATTAAGGATAACATACTATTGGCTCGAGAGAGTTTTTTATTTAGTTGAATCGTTTGATAATTCTAAGATAGGAGTTTTTGTCAATAAATATTCTGAGATATTTTATAAACTCAGAAGGAAAGATTCTTTTACCATTAATTTTAATTTTAACATTATCATTACTAATTATTTTTTTGGAGAGTGAAAAATAATGAATTCAGTTTTGTTGATATTTAGAGAGATACGATTATTGTTTAACCAAAGACACAAATAATGGAGATCTGAATTGACTTTTTTACAAAGCTGAGTAAGTGATTTATTTATGCATAGAAGTATTTGGTATCATCAGCAAAATGGTGAACAGTGGAATTGCTTATAGAGTGAGACAAGTCATTTATATATATTAAAAACAGCAAAGGCCCAAGAACAGAACCTTGGAGGACACCATATTTGATAAATTTTATGGAGGATTCAAACCCATTAATGAAGACAAACTGGCTACGATTTTCAATATATGATGAAAACCAATTATTAGCGATACCCCATTTGTCATAGTAGTATAACTTTTTAATTAAAATCTTGTGGTCGACCGTGTCAAAAGCTTTTTGGAAATCAATAAAGACTCCACAAGCAAATGAACCACTATCGATTGCACCACGAATCATTTCAGTAATGCTAATAAGAGCATGGAAAGTAGAGTGTTTTAAACAAAAATTAAACTGGCGGCCATATAAGCACTTAGAATTATCAAGAAAGTGGTTGATACGAGAATACATTAATTTTTCAAGAATTTTGCTGATATTAGATAATAATGATATTGGTCTGTAGTTATTACAGTCAAGTTTTGATCCCTTTTTATGAATTGGTTTAGCAGATGCTTATGAATTGGTTTAGCAGACAAAGCAGCCGTGGCGCAGTGGTAGCGCTATTACCTCAGAAACGTAAGATCCATGGTTCAAACCCCACCTTTTTGTTGGTCTAACTCTAGTTAGAGTTTACATAACAAACTTTGGGTTAAAGTAATCTCTAAGGCAAATTTTTCTTACATTTTTGTTACAGAGCTTAAAATTTATTAGTTAAACTTTGGTGGTTCTATTTGAGTTCTGTAAAGCTGAAATTTACAAGAAAAAAATTTTACTACTAGTTTTTTTTTTTTTTAATCAAATTTAGTGAATTTGTTTTTTATAATTTATTTTAGGATAATGAAATAGAAAAGAAATATGTAAATCTCCTTGAAAAAAAATGGACATCCGTCGTTCGGTTGCAAAGAAAGGTATATAATTTTTTCTCTAATAAATTCTAGCACTTTTACTATACAGAACTTCTTATCCAAAAAAAAACTTTTCATTTTAGAAAGTTCAGTTTACTAGGATTTGAATTTAAAACAAATTTTTATATCAAATCTAAGTAAGGTAAAATTTTATTTTCAAAAATAATTTATCTAAGTTGTTTATAATAACTTTGATACTTTTACTACTTGAATGGGTTCTTAAGTTAAAAATTTTTTTGTTCGACATAACTTTTAAAAAAGTTATTATTATTAACAAACTGTAATGAAAGTCTTTGTATTAATAGCAAATAATCACCAAAAAAACTAAAGAATGCTGCCATTTTTACAAAATTTTTTGAGCAAAAAACAACAACAACTGGTATCTTGCTTGTTACTGATTATTTTTGAAAACTGTCACAATATTTACTTATTTACTTATTGTTTCCAATGTATAAGTCTCCAAGTTGTGGTTAAGTTACATGTAAGAAAAGTGTTAATTAAAAATAAAATGTGTTTGTACAGATTATGATTTATGCGTTTTTTTAAACTTAGTTAAAGTGTGTTTACCTATGCTTCATAAAAGTAATATAGAAGGATATATAATGGTACTAAGTAATAAATAAAATTTTATGACCAGCTTAAAAAGTTTATTAAAAATGTTATCCTAATTCTGTTTTATTCTTATATATTTTAAATATATTTTTTGATATTTATAATTATTTTGATATTTACAAATTTTTTAATATTTATGAAAATTTACAATATTTAAAAATATTTTTTAATTAATTAACTTGCAGCTGTTAAAGTCAGAAAAAGTAGTTGATGTAGAATTAATAAATCAGTTGAAAATCTACATTAGTCAGATTAGCACTTTATACAAGCAATCAAGCATAGATAATTTGATTTCAAGTTCAAAAATCAGGAAAACAAACTAAGAAGCCAAACGATCAGCTTATAATAGCAAATTCTACTATAAATGAATTAAATGAACGTAAAAAGAGAGCTAAGTTTCTTTAGATAATAAAATAGCCTAAAATAAAGCATAAGTTTGGAAATATTTACAGAAATTGGAGTTCAAAATATAAATTTTAAGAAGTTTAATTGTTCAAGAAGGAAGATTTCTGGCAAGTCAAGTCCATTGTTGGTTTACTTAGCTGATTCTAATCTACAAAACAAAATACTAATTTCATCAAAAAAATTAAAACTGCTTCCAGGTTGTAAAAGTATATGTATATCTCCAGATTTAACAAATGCTGAATGTCAACAGGACTTCATACTCAGAATAGGGCGAAATAAATTGAATAATGCCCTTTAGGAGATGCTTTTATTGTAATCGTGGAAATCAAATTCAAAAATTTAAAAAGAAATGCTAACTAAAAAGTTATCAACTTTTTAGTTAGCATTACTTATACATGGTTTAAACCTACTTCTCTTACTTATCCAGTTAGGCAATCTTAAATATCTTATTGAATGTATTTATAGACCTTATGGTTTTGCGGATATTAGGGTGTCCCAAAAAGCAACTTTTTTAAAAATAATCTGCTCTCACCCCCTAAATGTGTTCTATCTGATACAAAAACACTAAGTTTAAATTTTTTTCAATAAAAATTAATTTAAAGGGTCCCTCAAGACCCTCGAATATTTAATGGGTCCCTAATATTTTCAAAAAAAAAGTTTTTAAAAATTATGTCAACCTGGTACTCAAATGATATATTATTTTTTATTGAAAAAAAAATTAAACTTAGTGTTTTTGTATTAGAAAGAACACATTTAAAGGGTGAAAGCAGATTATTTTTAAAAAAGTTGTTTTTTGGGACACCCTAGCGGATATGACAGATATTGAAAATGTATTTATAATGGCAAGAAAATATGTTGATTAAAAAGGTTTCAAAGATCTAATCATAGTTAGGGATTTTAGTCACTAACTATGATTAGATGGGGATAATTTAGTCCAATGGTTCAACAAGCTCGATTAAAGGATCATCAGGCATTGAAGTATAATGGCAAGTATATTGCTATAGTAATTAGGCTAATATTAACTCTGTTATACTTCCGGTTGAGAGACTATTAACTCTATGAATCTGCGTAGTTTTTTCTGTTGTAAAAATATCTGGTTTGAATGATAGATGTACTTACTAAAAAAAATACCACAAAGTTCTTAAAGCAATTCACACAATATGATTGGATTTTTCCCTTTAATGAAAAAACGTTTGTGCTACATTTAAAAAAGATTGCGCTTTGTATTGTGACAACTACTTTGTATACTTTATATAAATGATCTTCCTGAGTCTCTGGAAAATATTTTAAAATTTTATGCTGATAACACAAAAATTGATTAGTACCTCTGATTAGTTACATAACAAACTACAGTGTCATTTAAACTCTGTATATGCATGGTTACAAGATGAGTTGCTTAGTTCTAATATTGAAAAATATTTTGTTATGCACTATGGGTATAAAAGTAAGAGAAAAATCCAATTTATATAAATGGTTGTAAACTCAATATATCAGATTCAGAAAGAGACCTACTTGTAATTTTTTCGGATAACTTAAAGTGGAAAAATCAAGTATTATCGAGTGCAAGCAAAGAAATTGCATGTTGGGCATATTAAGGAAATATTTCATTGGAATAGATACAGAACTGTTAAAATCTTTATATCTTTCTTTTATTCAACTACTTATTGAGTTTGCTGTACCAGTATGGGCTCTATCAAAAACAAGATATTGCCATTTTAGAAAGAACACATCGCCTTGCCACCAAATTAATACCTTCAATCAGTAAATTATGCTTAGAAGATTGACTTGCTTATCTTAGAATGCCCTCACTTAATAAAAGAAGATAATGAGGCGAAAATACAACTATAAAATTTTCAAAGATAATAAAGTTGAATTTAAAGAAAATTATTCCTTCATATCAAATTGTACTTGTGGCCATAGCTTAAAGTATTCTAAAGAATTTTCTTTACATATTATAGAGAAAATATTTTACTAAATTGAAATTGCCAAAAAAATGTTGTTGAAGCTACCTCAGTAAATTTATTTAAAGCAAGTCTTGATCAATGGGATTCAAACCGTCACGAGGATCAGCTGTCATAAAGTGTGCTTAAAACCACATTCACTGGTAGCAATACTAGTCACAGCATTAACTAATATTAAAAGTATTCTGAAATTTAAATATATATATATATATATATATATATATATATATATATATATATATATATATATATATATATATATATATATATATTCTTGTTTAACCGAATTTATCTCTTATGTTATTTTATTTGAAAACATTTAAGACAGCTAAGAAACTAAAATTTTTAAAGTATGCATGGTATTTGAACAATAGATCTCTAAGCTGTGAGAATCTAAAATGTGTAAATTATTTTGATCTTTCCACACTTTTTTTTTTTTTTTTTTTTTTTTGTGCATATTCCTGCAAGAATGTTTGGACGTATTGATGTTTTTTTGACACGATGATGTTTTTCAGTGTCAGTTCTTTTTTTCACTAGGGTTTTTTTTTTTTTTTTAATTTAGTTGTTAAACATGGTTATAGATATGTAAATAGTGAAAATAATGTGCCTCAAAAGAAAATTGTATAAAGGGTTATTTGTTTTAATCTCTTTTTATATGTTAGTTTCATTAATATCAGTTGGTTAATTCAGTTTAGTTTATAACATTTGCAAATGACCTGCAATTGTAAAGTTATTTTCAAAAAATGTATGTTGATTCAATTGACTAACACACAACTGTTAAATTATTAAATTCTTTAATACTCTGACTTGAATTATTATGATAGGGTTTAAAAACATTTACAGGTTGTATATTGCATACATCATACAATAGTGCATGGAGTAGAGGGTTAATAAAAAATTTTTGTAATAAGATTTTTTTAAATTAAATTTAAAAGTTGCAAGAACTGTTGGAAGAATTTAATTAAGCAAATTCTTCAACAATAAAAAAAAAATTGTAACAATTAAATTGTTTACTCAAAACATGTTGTGTTTATGCTCGGAGCATGTTGTATTTATGCTCAGAACATATAATTCTATTCAAAATATGTAGTATCAGCAATGAATTAAAAAGTTGACTGTATTTTTATTAACACAAGATTTTTGTGGTTCAATCCCCACCGCTTCTCTGGTACCACGCTTAACTTTTTTTCTCTGCATCGTAGTTTAGTTTGTCAAAGAGTTGAGAGAGGTTTGCCACAATCATAACAATAGAAAAAACTACACTAACTCAGAAAATATATTAATTTTATTTAGAAAAAAAGTTCATGCTCAAATTTTTTTTAAAGTGTTTCAACTAATCAAAAATTTTAAAATGTCATGAGAAATAAAATAAATCATTTATAGATTTCAAAGCAAGAATGGATAAAGCTTGGGTTTCTATAGGAAATTACTGCTGATGTGTTATATGAATCTGTTTATGTCTAACATCAAACAGACAAAATGATTTGCAGCAATAACTTTCTTTACAGTTTGGTAAGAATAATGTACATCCAACTTATTTTTTATGTTCCTTTAAAAGAATTTATTTTTGCTTGAGATTCAAAATTCCAAATTCTTTTAGAAAAAATTTTTAAATAATAGTTTTAAAAATAATTAATACAGTTAATTATATAAACAATCCTAAAATATAAAAGTTTAAATTTTACCAAATCACATTGAATTTTTTATATATTTTTTACAATAGCGTACCGTTATGGTGACGTCAAATTGTTTGTTTGTCCGAATATCAATCCCACAACTACTAGCGTTTTTTAAGAAATTCTTTTGTTTCTGTGCAATGTTTGTCCGAATATCGATCCCAAAGTGCCTTACGTTTCTGGAAAAAGTTCTATTTTTAGACCCATAACGGTACGCTATTAAAAAAATTCATAAGCTACAAGAAATGTTTACATAAAAGATTTATAAAAACAGAACACCACAATTATTTAATATACCCCTCTCTAGACTTTCTTTTCAGTTAAGTATATATACATATATATATATATA